AGGAAGAATTGACAGCAATCGATTGAATAATATTGAAAAGAATGGAAAAATTATTTTTGCAAAGCAGAGTATATTCCATGGAGTGGTCCTTCTTTTTGAGAAAAATAAGTTTTTGAATTCCAGGGCCACTTATCAATCGATTGCTTTTAAATATCTTGATACATCATTTATCATTGCTTATAGGAGTCTCGGATATCCTATAACAAGATTTTGAAATGAATATATAAATGACGTTGAAAGAGTTCGCAGTATGGAAAATAATAAAGTGGTTATATTAGGAGATTTTGACATATGCAGGTCCACACGAACTGATTCCTTAGAGGAAAATCTAAATGCTCATATTCTTTTACCAATTAATAGTTGTCCAACGACAAAGCATCAAACACAAATATATTGGGTTTTTGCTGATACTAGTATTTCAGAAGCTGTTGCCCTCACATATGAGACCCCATACAGTCATCATGATGGTGTTTTCTTAAAAGTATAGACTATAAGTAATTTTGTATAAGTTTTTAATTTCTTGGATAACGTATTTTTACTAATTGAACAAGTATGTTTAAGTTGTTATTTGTATTTATAAAGGGCTATTTAGTTAAGTAATTGTACAAATAAATTGTATAAATTTTTGTCTTGGTATAAAATAATGCAATATAGTGCAATATAATTTGTAAGTAGTTAAAATTTCCCCCTCGTGGATTGAGACCTTGTGGTGGTGTGGAAGCTGAGTACGTGAATTTCTAAATAAATTTCACAGAAACTAGCAGCAATCCTTTAAAATTAAATGTTGTTTTAATTAATACATTTTACACAAATTCAAATATTGCAATTGTAAATGTTCTTTTCCGATTTTCATTAAACTTCTTTTGAAATTTCATAATCTTTAAAAAAAATCTTAAAGAAAAACAATGTTTGTATGATAAAAAAAGAAAAAAACAGAGGTCCAATAGTTTTGTTTTATATAGATTCGATCGGTCCCATGGCAGCTATATGATATCGTTGTTCGAATTTAACGAAATTTTTTCACTTTTACCTACGCACACACTCATAAATGTATATACACTTTATATACATTAGGATAAGGCAAGGCTTCATATTAATGTGGGAGCTAGATGTTTAGTTAGTTACTCTGGACCGAGACTACACCGTCGTTTCTTTACCAATATAAACGTTTATCACTTTATTTTGTGTTTAAAAAAAAAAAAAAAATCAATAACAATGGCTTCTGTTGTGTGTGATGTTTGTTTCCAAAAAATTGAGCAAATTTTTGGGGCCTTAAGCATCATTACGATGAATGCTCAAAATTAAATAAATCCAACAAAATTACGTGTGATCTATGTTGTTCAAACATAGATATGAGTCAGTTTAGTGCTCATTACGAGAAATGTGTCGGACCCAAAAATGCGTTCCAAGTGTTGATGGATACGCAACGCAAAGGTGTGAAATGACAAACGCGACCAATAATTGAAATAAATGAGGAAGATTTTAACCTGCCATCCACGTCTGCTGCGGCATCCAAGGATCGACACAAATAATGGGAACCCCCTGAAACAACAATCGCAATTCATCGAATTATATGAGGATAATAACGACCTGTCCTCCACGTCGGCTACAGCATCTAAACGTCGAAGGATTGACCATGATAGTATGCAAGAGCATAAAACCAATAGTAGTAAGTGTCAACAAAATATAGTTGCATGTGACTTGTGTGGTGACTCGTACACTGAGTCAGGAAGATTAAGGCACATTAGATCAGAAAAGCATCAGAATACAATTGCATCTGATAATGGAAATGTCGCGGTTATTAATTTAGCTTCAGACACACAATTTCCAATAAAGTCGTTTAGAATTCAGTCACCTAATACCGACGAAGTGATTGATGTAAAACAATTTTATAATAAATGTCGCCTAAATATTTTGAACGTTATTAATCATTGGATGACTGAATATAAGTCCATTAAATTTAACTTACAAGTTTATGGATTATATATAAAATACACTGATGAAGGAGAGTGTATCGAAACATTGAAACATTTTGGCACAGCGTACAGTTTAGTATTCGATGAGGACGATATTCCTTGCTGTGTTGAGGATGATATGGAATACCTAGCAAACGCTATCAGTGTGTTTCAAGAAAAAGACTCAGGATGGGCAATCAAATCTTTTAAATATTTTGATTTGATTATCGTCAAATTGGAACATATTCCTGTAAGAGGCTTTATTCCGGCACCTCCAACAATTAAAGCTAAAAACGCTTTAATAAATGTTAAAAACCACGACGATTATTGTTTTAAGTGGTGTTTGTTAGCGGGTATCGCATATAAAAAACATGCGACTGAAATTTTTACAACACCCAGACAACGCAGAGCTGCTAGGGAGCAATTGCAGTTTCCCCATACATATAATTCTGCGAATATAACATCTCAAAAAATATTTTACAGAGATATAAAAATGGATTTTACTGGAATAGATTTTCCAATTACCAAAAAGGGGATTAAAAAATTTGAACAATTAAATCCTGATTTTAGCATCTATGATGCTAAAAGTTGATCCTACAGGTAATAATCTTTCATAATCTTTCGCTCTCTTCAAGTGAACGGTCGTGTTTTTTTGTGCGCTCCGAATTTTTCATTTTTATCTTTACAAACCAGCGGTGGTTCTAAATTTGAATATTTAAACACTTTGTTTTCAAAACCGTTTGCTTCGCGAGTGAATTTTGTGCGTTTTATTATAAAATAATAAACTTTAACGATCTGAGTTTTATCTTTTCGACTACTTTCTTTTATGCTTCGTCCGTCAATAGTAGTGTTGTTGTTAGAATTGCATGCATATTAACTGACCCGCTCTCCCGCTTTTCTCTTTTGTACTAACATTCTCGAAAGTTCTAAGCGTGCAATTTATACGCTCTTGCGGTACATTTGAGTTGCTCGCTTACAAATTTCGATTTGATTTTCTCTCGGCACAGTGGTCTGTAACATAATAAACATGGAATCCTACAATGTCTGCTTTAAAAAAAACCTGCCTTCAGGTTATAAAGCCTGAGCAGGCTAAACTCGCTTGTTGGCTTTGTGACAGGATGGTGCACACTAAGTGCGCTGGATTCACAGGGCGGACAAGTGACGATCTAAGTAAAGGCCTTGGTTTGCAGTTCTGCTGTGAAGCTTGTCGCGAAGTTGCGAAGGAAATAAAGTCCTTCATGAGCCAAACTAAAGTTCCGATTTGTCTGAAGGTGGTTCTCAAACTGTAATTCCACCTAACCAGCCAAATATACCCCCACAAGAGGTTTCTGAGACCGGACTACCGGCCCAAATTGTCACTGTAGGTCCACAGCCTGCTGTAGCAAAACCCCTCATTGTGATTCCACAAACGAAACAAATATTTGTTTCTCGGCTACACCCTGATCTCACATCATTTGATGTTTCGTCTCATATCAAAGACAAAATAAATGCCGATAACGTGAAGGTGGAAAAATTTAACTTTTCATATGCTAGGAACATTTTATCTTTCAAGATAAGTGTTCCTGACGAACTTTTTAACTTTTTCGTGGCAAAAATAAAAAAGAAAGGTCCTACGGGAATAAAACTCCCCGGCCGGGACCAATTTGAGATCGAGGACAATGCATGTAAATTTATTAACGTTAACCAATGGACCATCCATGCATTATGCATTCATAACGTGCATGAAAACACTATGCTACTCACAACATTCAAAATCACGGTCCGCAGCATATTTTTGTGAAAACTGTTTACAGTTTATAACCACAACAAACCCCACGCATGATGCAGTGGAATGTGGTAAAGTCTCAGCAGAATTTCCCAAGCCAGACACCACCACAAAGTTCAAGAACTTTTTCAAAAAATTGTCACCTCCGGTGGTAATATATGCAGACATTGAAGCTGTATTAGAAAATTACCATCGTACTATAAATTCACCAACAACTTCGTCGACCACCAAAGCCTAGAAACATACCGCATGTGCGGTGTCATTTTGTGTGGTACACAAATTCAATCCTAACCAGAACAAACAATGGACATATGAAGGTAATTGCTAATATTAAACTTTAATATTAACTGGATTATAACTTAAATATTTTTTTATTAAAGGCCCCGATTGCATCCAAAAATTTTGTAAAGCACTCAAAGAAACAACTTTGAGTCTTTACAACCACGTAGAACCATCTAGGCAATTGGACACATATGAGGAGTACTGCCACGGAAATGACGACTGCTGCGCCTGCGAACTTCCAATTAGAGGTACAACTGAAAAATGTTTTAACCAGTTTACTGGAAGTTATAGGGGACCTATTCATAAGAAATGTAGCATAGATTATAAATTAAGTGAGGCCTTCTTCCCTGTCGTATTCCATAATTTATCAAGAAATGATATACATTTATTCATAAAGGAACTAGGAGACAATTTAAAACCAATTCTTTGTAATAAGGAACTTTACATTGCCCTTACCCAAACAATTAGATTAAATGCCACCAACCATTACAAAATTAAATTTATCGACTCCAACAGATTTTTGAATTCTAGTTTAGAGAAACTAGCTTCTTATATGGACAATTCAAACTTTAAACTATTAAAAACTAAATTCCAGGGTGAGAAATTTGACCAAATGAGAAGAAAGGGTATTTTTCCATACGACTTCTTAGACAGTTTTGAAAAATTTAATTATCCAGAACTTCCGCCGATTCAATGCTTTTTCATTTCCCTTGCAGACCAGGAATGTCCTTGTAAACATATGATAATATAGGTACATACATATATGATAAGTGATGCTAATTAAACAAAATTAAAATCGTTAAAATAAAAGGCCATCGTCTACAAATCAGGTGTGGGGTGATTGCCCATAGCCTTCTCGTCGTATCCATATGTTGTATTGCGATATATTGAAGAAGTCGAAGGAAGAATTACTGGAATTATTAAGAGCTAAGAAAGTGCATTTTGACGCCAACGCTTCCATTCACCAATTGCGTGTTGCGACAAACACTTTGTTTAAGATGAACAACAAACAGGAGTATGGCCAGGATGACGAACATGATCAGGGAGCTGCGGGAGGCGATACTAGCTTACAAAACCAGATCGTCCACGACGAATCGGTTGCGCAGCACGTGGTCCTGATTGGACTAGATGACCGCACGTTTAGAGGAGAGCTGGCCGATGTTAGTCAAGGAGTAGCAGGAACAACGTTGCGCGACATGGAACAGAAGCAAGTTGGCACAAAGATGGCCGAAAATTTTTCTCGGGTCGAAATTGCAGACATAATGGCGGTTGTGGAGCCCTTTTCAGGAGAAGATGGCATGCCTGTCAAACTGTGGATTGAAGAATTTGAAACTGCATGTGCAGTGTTGGGAGTGCCACTTAACCGTTATTGGCTGTATGCGAGGCGTCTGCTTGTAGGAGCGGCTAAGAGTTACTTTACATACCAACGCGCTGCTGATTGGGATGCTTTACGAGCACAGATGATGGATGTTTTTGGTCGTAAAAATACGAAACTCGAGATATGTGAGCAGCTCAGACACCGTAAGAAAAAAAGTGATGAGAGTGCATTCCGATACTTTATAGCTATGTGTGGTATTGCACGTCAAGCTGAATTAGAAGATCGGCATTTAATTAAACACATTGTGAGCGGATTAAACGACAAAAGTGGCATAACTGCGTCCCTTTATTTTTGTGAGAATCTTGACCAATTGCGTCGCCGTTTGATTGAGTATGACCAAATTCGGATCTCACTGCCAAATTCTAACACTGGTCGTGGTACTTCGAGCGCTCAGGAGTTCAAATGCTACAATTGTCATCAGCCGGGACATATGGTGAAGGATTGCAACAAGCCCATACGTCCGCCGAATAGCTGCTTCAACTGTGGAGGTCTGGATCATCAATTTCGTAACTGCCCGAAGCGTGTAACTGGAAGACTGCAGCAGACAGTGGCGAGTGTGGAGGATCAACAAGCTGTTGCTGATATTATTGGTAAACACCTAGTAAGTTCTAATATAAATGAACTTAGATGCACAAAATTTATTAAAATTAATGTTCTTTTTGATACCGGTAGCCCGGTTAGCTTTATAAACAAGACGGATCTTCCAAGAGATGTAACACCTGGCACTTGTAAAAAATTTGCGCCTAAATATAGAGGTCCATATAAAATAAATAGAGTTTTTGATAATGATAGGTATGAAGTAACAGATATAGATAACTGTCAATTAACTCAGTTACCTTATAAAGGCATTTTAGAAGCTGCAAGGTTAAAACCATGGGTACAAATATTAAAGAAGACTGTAACATTATGTACATAATCTTGATCGAGGTCGATCAATATGTCAGGTTGACCGAGTTGTAAACATATGACAATATAGGTACATATATGATAAGTGATGCTAAATGATGTTAAATGATGTGAAGTGATGCAATATATATTAGTGTGTACGATATATTGGATATATTATATTTAAGACAAATGTTATCGATACGAATGTGAACTCGATTGTCGATACACAAATAAATGTAATTGATTTGAAAGGAAAAGACAAGAGAACACGCGAAATAAAGAAACAAAAAAAAATTTGTAACCAAATTTATAAATTAGATCCGATTATGTTACAGCACCCTCAATTTCGTGGGATGCTATGCTTAAATTTACAAGAATAGAACTATCTCTAATAAGTAATCCGGATATGTATAATTTTTTGAAAAGATCGTTTCGAGGAGGGTTGACTCAATGTACTCAAAGAATTTCTACTGCAAACAATAAATATGTAGATTCTTATGATAGTAGTAAACCAAATAATTTTTTGGCATACCGATTGATGCCAATAATTTATATGGTTGGGCTATGAGTCAACCCCTCCCAATATCAAATTTTACATTTTTAAATGAAAATGAAATCGCTCAATTAGATATTTTAAATATATCAGCAAATTCCGATGTTGGATATATGCTTGAGGTGGATTTGGAATATCCTGATGAGATTCATACGACCCATAACTCGTACATATAAAAAGTCTACAGTTATGCATCCAACACGGAATGATTCCTAAGAAAATTCACCGTATACTTAGGTACAAACAATCTTGTTGGCTAAAATCATACATTGATCTTAACACCAAACATAGAAAGGCAGCTAAAAATGAATTCGTAAAGAATTTTTTTAAATTAATGAATAATGCTGTGTATGGGAAAACAATGGAAAACGTTGAAAAGCGTAGAGACGTAGTATTGGTTTACAATTATCAGTCTTCTGGGTTTAGACAGAGAATAGCTATCCACAATTTTCATAGCGTATAACTTTTTGAACCTCATTTAGCTGCAATCGAGTGACAAAGACTCGTATCCTTTACGATAAGCCAATATATATTGGATCTTGTGTTTTGAAACTTTCCAAATGGTTGATGTACGATTTTTATTATAATTTTCTCAAGGTAAAATGTCCTTCTCTGAATATAATGAATATAATATATATGGATACCGATTCATTTATATTATCATCGGAAGAAGACTTTTATCAATTGATAAAAGGAAATCCTGAACGGTTTGATACATCAAATTATGAAAAAAATAATATTTATAATATTGCCCAGGCAAATAATAAAGAATTAGGTCTAATGAAGGACGAAAATGCTGGTAAAGTAATGAAATCTTTTGCGGGCATAAAGGCTAAGGCTTACTCCAGAGGGCGAAAGTAAGAGGTAGAGTTAAGCTAAACACACATTTCCTAAGCAATTCTTTGGAGTAACTTAAACCTTTTGCCTTAAAAAATTCCTTAGCCTGAATAAGTTAACATGACCTTAGAAAACCCAATCAGTATCCAAAGCGAAAACCTAAGACGAAACCCAAGACGCGACCCACGCAAAATTCTCAATAGATGTCGCTTTGCGAGCTAAGCAGTGCGAACGGCGCTTAAAAAAGCAGTCAGCCGGCAGATGTCGCTTTGGCGCCTAAGAGCCTAAGCTCTACCTCTTACTTTCGCCCTCCGGCGGAAAAATGTGAAATAAATGTTAAATAAACTTTAAAATTATGTAGAATGGCAGGTTGGCGGGTTGTGAATCTTTAAAAAATAACATAAAAAAAAAAAACATAACATAACAATAACAGACAGCAAAACCTGCCCACATTGAGAAAAATAATAAGTATGTATGTATATTGGATCTGGCTTCTACGGATCAAAAGATATATAGATTCAATCTTTATTTTCAATTTTTAAAATAAAAGTTGTTGAATAATTTTTATTTTTCAATTTATATAATAAAAATAAAAGTTATTGAGTAATTTTTATATAAAAATTGATACTTAATAATTATTACTAATTTTTTAATATTAAAATTAATTTTATTTATTAAAAATCAATTTTTTTCATAAAAATTGGAAAAAAAATATTTATCTTGTTTTTGAATTCGCCATGAAAATTTAACTTATGACAATTTTCTCCAATTTTTTTGGAGACTGTTTTGGGCTTCAATTTTAATTATTAATTATTTGCGGTCTCTGGTATCAACTTCTGACTCTCTGCAGCTCCTAAAGCGATTAATACTAACATATCTGGCACGAAATTAGATCGTTAAATTTAAAATTAAAATTAAATATAAAATTTTCTTTAGTTTAAAAATTTTTTCCTTTTTTCTTTTAAATATCGTGTCCAATTTTCATGAATCGTGCCGTACGATATACAGCTGTCGCCCCTCGGTCGGTTGGGCAAAATTAAAAAAAAACAAACAAAAAAATATGCTACCTGTCGGGTCATCCAGCCGCAGCAGATAATTAGTTTCTTTTAATGCGAGCTCTTATCTTATCAGCATCGCTCTCTCTCTCTATCTTTTCTACCGCTCTCTCATTGCTCGTTAGCTTCCACTTTAGGGCAGAAATCGGCTGATCCGCTTCTCACTTGTTAATTCTTATTCTTCTTTTCAATCCCGCGGACGATTGTAATGGGTTCCAAAATCTGGACCAAATAAAACCCATTCCGATTTGGCACGGAAAATCTTGGGATCGATTATGCCAGCAAAACTGTTTAAATTTAGAATAAGTAATAAATTTATATATTGTCACATTTTTATTTATTTTTGTTTGCTTAAGATTAGATTAAATTGAATGTTCTTATTGTCCTAATGCGTGTAATATTCTTTTAAGTTAATTTTTTTGTTTGTGTTTTTAATATGACCAGTAAAATAAGTACATGTCGATGTCATTAGAATCTAGAATAATTTTTTAATAAGCAATTTTGTACAAATCTTTTTATAATATACACATGTTCAGTTTTGCTAAATCTCCGAAAAAAAATAATAATAAAAAATTGTACTTTACTTTCATATACACTTTCATACAAACCATTCGTATCAGAATGTTGTAAAAGGATTCTTGTGGCCAGGGATTGCAAGGTGCTGCCTCTCGTAATGAAAAAGGTGACCAAAAAGCGAAAGAGGTGGAAGTTTTCACCACGGTGCTCATACACTACTAGAGAATTAAGGCCATTGTCGCCATAATTTGGCGATTCGGTCTGGGCAGACGAATACCACTTGTCCAAGGCGGTGGGAAGGCTTCCCTCAATTAACCTCAAGCTTTAGAACAAAACCATAAAAAAAAAAATTGGGAAGAACACCTAGAGAAATGTTTACCCTGCTCGTGAACTTTTCAGAGTGATTTAATGCACGCCGTGGACGTGCTTATATAGCGTCCAACGGCCTTAGTGTGGCCAACTGTTTCTGTTGCTTAATTGCCCAAAACTGACCCGTGAATTAGTATTTTTATAAGTATTTGCCAACAAGTTGCATCAGGTGGTAATTTCTTTGAGTGAGCCTGAAATATTGCAAAGTTTTCGTGGGAAATAACATTTCTGATTTCATTTACCTATAAGAATGATAAAGAGTTATGGAGTTATCGTATCCTCTTTTTAAATCTTTTTCCCCTTGTATGAGCACTTTTTTCGAAAAGATCTCCTATTTTGTCGGAATAATGTACCTGATTAATTTATCTTAAAAGGTATAAAATATTGAATCCACTTTCGTGAGCGAACACGTGCAAACTTATTACGTTGCACAAGCAACCTACTTTAACTAAGACCCTTCTAAAATTACGGAAAAAGGGTTACCTTAAAATTGCATCATCGTCAAATGTACTATCTGTTCCCAAGGGAAAAAAAGATGACAGTTACCAAGTGAAAGTGCGAGTTTTTAAAACGCCAGTTTGTATAAACAGTAAAAAGTTTAATTGGTGATATTAACGTGAACTTGAATCTTGGAAATAATTAATTCGGTAAGTCATTCGTTTGTTTAAATTTTGTCATTGGTTTGTTCATTTTAGACGGACTAAGTCAAAGACCCAGTTACTAATACATAGGGGAGGGTGGCCCCATACCGACCCCCTAAATGGAAAAGGCGATAAAGGTGAGAAAAATCAATTTTTCTGTTCAGTTCAAAAATTTACTATGTAGAGGGATCAGTTTACTATACTTCTTATCGATTTGTAAGTGCGTAGGTGTTTTAAAATGTTAGCTATTCAGACAAATATAAACCTCCATTTTTTGGACGTTCTCAAAAATAGTGGTCCGAAACCGACCTCCACATGGTCCGAAACCGACCCCCTATTTCTTAGCAGAAAAATTCAATAACATAAAATAGAATTTAATGATTTTGACGATTATTAAGAAATATTTTGAAGGTTCTTTCCAGACAATAACAATTAATGTATGAAATAAAGGGCACTGTAGTCAATTGCTGAAGTCAGAGCTGTCCTCTTTCTGATAGTAAGTTCGAATGGTCTTCAGTCGCATTGTTTTTCGAAAGCCGCTCGTTGATTAGTGTGGTTCCATTTGTCTTTTCGCTTCCTTCTGATGTTTTTGCTGCTTCTGTTGACTTTTCTTTACTGAATCTTGTTTACTTTGAAACTTACCGTTTTGAAGCCCTTCGTCCCAATTTTTATATTGTTAACATTCACTTCTTCCAGACGTTCAGCTGTTTCAATTTCTTCTGGTGTATTATTTTCATTATTTCTGCGATGCAGCAATAATGTTGATCGAGGAATTGCGAATTCACGCGCAGCTGCGCGAAGCGACAGTCCCAATTTCATTGCTGCAACTGCTCGACGTAGAATCTCCGGATCCCTTTTTG